ACTCAGGACCTTGCGCTTTTGAGGCAGGCGCCAGAACCACTGAGCTAAATCTAAGGCCCATCCCTTACCCTGTATTCTTGACCTCACCCTTCTCCTTTTGTTTCATCAAAAATCTTCCTTTTCCTTATGTAGCATATTCAAATTCTTAAGGCTTGAAGTGGCATGGCTCAGTCAGTGGTAGAGAGCTTTCCTAGCATGTACAAAGCCCTGGGTTCAATCCCAGTACCTTAAAAATCACTTCTCCCTCCAAATTCTCCACAATCATTGATTTCTTCCTGGTAGGCCTGCAAATAGAATTAGTTGTTGCTTAATAATATCTTCCCTTGGACCCAGGTATAGTGGTGCACACATGTAATCCCAGCACTCTGGGAGGCTGAGGCAAGAGGATTGTAAGTTTGAGCCCAGTCTGAGAAACTTAGCAATTTAGTGAGAGTCTGTTCCAAAATAAAAAATAAAAATGGGCTGGAGATGTAGCTCAGTGTGAAGGCCCTGGGTTCAATTCCTAGTACCACAAAAGGGAAGAAAACATTCTGTTGGCTGTATTTTCCCTTAGAGTGGCCATCCCATCTCTTTTCCTTAATTGTTTAAATTTTTAAAAATTATTTATTATTACATGATATAGTACAGCTAAAAAACAAAAGCTTAGTATGAGATTCTATGTAAGTAAGTAAATGTTTACAATTTAAGTTCAGTTTGGTAATAAGACAGTGGCATATCAATATATAGTTAATGGTAGTATTTCAAGGAAAAAGTGACTTTAACACAATTTTAGCTTTATTAAGTGTTACAGCTTTACAAAGAGTCCTAAATTAGATTGGGAGGGCTGGGGATTTAGCTCAGTGGTTTCACCGCCTGCTGCTTAAACGCAAGGACCTGAGTTCGATCTCCAGTACCAAAAAGAAAAAAATTAGACTGGGAATGAGGCTGAATAAACTTTTACATTGTAAAGAGGTGTGATTTAGACTAGCATGAGAACTTTTATAATTTTATAATTGTAATGGTATTTATAAATTATAATTTATAATTTTATAATTGTATCGTATTTATAATTCTGTGTTATGGAAGCATATGTTTATATTTGTTTATAACCAAATAAAAGATATATATGTTTCATCAAAAAAGAGAAAATAAAATATGTATGATTCTTATGCCAATTATTTCTGTATCTAATAGTATTTAATAGACTGTTTCTTTATTTATGGAAAGAAAACATTTCTGTCTATAATATTAATGAGATAAAAATGCAGCCAGTCAACAATGTCTCTGAAAGTAATATAGAGAGTTCTGTCTTTGCAGATGAATCCATGCTGAGATATCAGAATATTACACATCCATTTTTGACAGGCCATTTCTTCTTTGCCCCTCCTCCCTCAACCAGAAAACTTAATAACTGCCACACAAAACCATGTGTGACCACTGTTGCAGACAGAATCCTCTGGGTATTTTTTGGTGTTGGTGGTTTTTTGAAGAAAGAAATAAGTCATTTCTTAAAGTCTAAATGGTCTATAGAGATATCTCTGTCAATTTCTCTGTCTGTCTGTCTGGCACAAAATCTGAGTCACCAAGGATGTGCGCATCTAGGGAACAAACAGGCTGGATATATGGCAGGGGTGGTGGCTTCGCTCTGAACATCAGCATCACATCCCTTAGAATGAAGGGAGCAGAGGCCCGGTGGGGAGGTGTCTGATAATGCAGCTGTGTGGCTTGCACCCACATCCTTGTTATCACAGCCTCCTTAACCTACTCACAGCTTGTTTTGTTTGTTTTAATTTTTTTTTGACGGGAACTCTCTCGTAGTCCAGGGTGGCTTTGAACTCCCCTTGTAGCCCATCCTGGCCTCTGCCTTACAAGTGCTGGAATCACAGGTGCACACCACCATACCCAGTTTACTGCCAGCTTAGTTTTTGTCCTCTTAGTTTTGACCTCTTTTCTTTTCTTGGTTCTTTTAGCTATGATATAAGAATCCAATAAGGCACTTAGAAGGGCTGCAAAAATGGAAAAAAGTAATGACTGGTGACAAGAAAATGCAATATGTAGATAACCTTGGTGCTTAAGGAAATATACATCCTGATATATCTCTTAAGTTAGGAATATGGAGCTGTCTCTTTCAGTTTTATGTTGCCCTGGGGACATGCCAGAACTTTAATACTCTCACATGGGAATAAAAGAGAGGGATGGAAACATCTGATTTTGGGTGTATTAGGAACTGTTTTCATTGGTAGGATGATCTCGCCTGGTTTTTTGCCTCCCAAACTTAGCTTGTTTGACTTACATCATTTCAATTCTCTCTCCCAAGTTTTCTTTAAGCTATAGTTTTTGTATTCATGACACATTTTGATTCTTCAGACATCTGTCTCAAGGGTATGATTGGATAAGGATGATTCAAATGAGATGCATTTTTTCCTAGAAAAGATACTGAATCCTGAAGGGAATCAGGGCATGGATTATATTATAACCAGCAGAAAGAAGAACATCATTTCCTAGAAAGTGCTTTGGAATGGGAATCCAGAGACTTAACATTCTGTTTCCATCAAAACTAACTTGTAAGCCCACAACATTGGCTAAGCTGTTTATCCTATCTGAACTGCATCCTTGCATCTCTAAAAAGATCACTTGCAAGTTCTCTTTGAGGTTGTCAGAAAGCAGCCCTTTTCTGTTTTGAATTTAGAGGCAGTTGGCATGATGCATGTTCCTCTCTTACCTTTGAGGAAGAGTCTTGGGATCCTGGAGGAGGAAAGAATCTCAGAGTCTTGGCAGTTTTTCAACCTCTGGGATTAACAAAAGCACTTTGATTTTTTCTTATTATCATTAGTAGCATGAGGACAGGCATTGATATTTTTGTGTAAATATGGTGTTGAGGACAATGAGGAAGTTGATTAAAAATCCTGTTTTCTCTCTTCAGTGTTGATAAGCGCTCTACAAGTGACCTAAATGAGGTGCAGAGCCGGCAGTGGGCTCAGGGGTGGTGGAGGCTGTAGTACGTAGAACGTGTACCCTGTGTACGTGGGTGGTCCCTCCTGGTTTTTCTTAAAAAGGTTTTAAATTTTTACTAGTATGTTTGCAGTATATGCAGTACTGATTACATTCCTCTTGGGGAGCTCACATCTTAATTTTTCCCCTTTCCCTCTCCTCCTCCTCCTGTCCCCCCATCTCTTGCTTACCTTCCCTTTTGCAAAAGGTCTAGGTCCATTTCCTATTATTTGTGTTTTATTTTGTTCCATGTTTTTATTTTGACTTTCTGAGTTTTAAGCACCAAATGGACCCGATAAAACATGCCTCCTAGGGGCAAAGAGCCATGATTGTGGTTGACGGTGTCTGTTGAAAACAAATGGTTTTTGTATTATTGGATTATGTAGGTTGGAGATTTTACCAGTTTCAGTAATAAAATGCAATTATAGAAGGTATACATGAGCTATTTCCCGCAAGTATGGGATTTCTTGGCTCTTCTGACAGGCCTTCTTTTCTAGTTATCTTAATCTTCTTCCATTTTCCTTAAAAATACTTCTTACCTTAGAATTACCATTTTTTGCAAGCTTCTATTATGCCTTAAAATAATTTCTAAAGTTCCTTTAATTTTGAATGGTCTTTCTCCTACATGTACTTGTTTTGAATACTTCTTACCTATTGTCCAGTGTTTAATACTACTTCTGGCAAGAATTTAACCCCTGTGTCTAAGTTGAACCATACCCTGAGTTTCTGTTTGCTTTTTCTCAAACTCTCTCCAGTCTGTACACTAAAATAAATAGTATTCTGGATTTGATCCATTCCTCTTGTAGGCTGATTGGACTGGTGAGATAATCCTCTGTCTTACTGGTTTGGTCAGAGGGCACCACACAGCTGGATCATAGTGTACAGTCTATGACCTCAATATCTTTTTCTCCCTACTGGCTCTGTTGTAGTCAGGATTCCTTCGTATTTTAGCCACACAATTCATTTTCTATTGGTAAGTACACTGTCTTTTACTCCCCTCTAATAGACACCTCTTGTCTTTGGTGGATAATTTCTGTCTCTGCTTTGTCCAGATTACTTGGAATTATTTTTTTTTTAGAAAACTAGAAACTTTGACCTAGTTTAGAGCCACAAAATTACTGAGCATGCTTTCAGTTTCATTATGATGGCCATTAATTAAAAAAAAATTGACCATTTTGGGCCTGGGAGTCTGGATGCTGTTATCATTCCCGTAGGTTGCATTAAACCATTTATTCTATCACTGTTAATTCCTGATTATTCTGCTATAGGACATTCTTAAGGTCCACAACTTTGGTATCATTTATAGGTTTTTGTTTGAGTGTGGAAATTATTCTTGAGTAATTTAGGGGTTTATGGTTAGTTGTAGTGGAGAGAAGAAACACAATTATTGTTTATTTCATGCACATTATTTTATATTTTGAGTAGCAAGGTGTCTTTACTTTTCTCATTGCTGAGACAAAATACTCGAAACCCAAAGTTAAAGGAGGAAGGGTTTGTTTCGCTCATAGTTTATAGAGGTTTCAGTCCGTAGTTGTCTGGCTCCAAGATGGGTGGCATGGCAGAGGGGGATCGCAGAGGAGAAACAGTTCATAGGATGACAATACAGGAAGAAGGTAGCACATATCAAATGAGGGCAGCTGTAGAAACAACAGCAGCAAGCCCTCTTTCTGTCCCTTGTATTCCATCCAGCCTGCTCATCCAAGGTGCATTAGCACTCACACCCAGGGTGGTGCATCAATTAAGGGAATTGATTCCTTAATTCCAGTATCACACCCTTGACCACAGTATCACACACCCTCCATCTGGCCCCCTCCAAAAGGCCCCACCTATGACCGCATGAGGCTTTGAGGGGACATCTAGATACAAGGCGAGAGGAAATAGGAGAGCCTTTAGATTGAGTATGAATATTTGTGTCTTAGGCAGTTTTCAGTGTTGGACTTTGAGGATGTCTGTTCTTTGATTTAAACTTAGTAATGTCTTATTTAATTTACAAACATAACCAAATGCACTTTTTGTTATTGTCATTACAGATTTTGGAAAGTGACCATGAAGAGTGAAGAAGTTACATTTCTGATACTTGGAAGTTAGTGACTGCTTACCACATTTTCATGAAAATTAAATATGACTTAGAAGCACTGAAGGTTTATGATGTCATCAGTTTCGACAGAAAGCAAACTCCAGCAGGCTGTGAGCCTGCAGGGAGTTGACCCAGAGACATGCATGATTGTGTTTAGAAACCACTGGGCACAGGTAAAGTATGACTCTGCTTGGGTCTGCTCGTTTCAGAAGCCCCATGGGCCTCCGTCATGTACAACTGGGTTTCCAGAAACTTTGGTAGAAAACTTTTGCCAATAGGCAGAAAAAGTAATTTTTTTCTCCTTGCTTTCCTAGAACAGTTATCTGATGAGAAACCCTTGTTTCACAAGGGTTAGGGAACATGTATATTTCTTGGATATTTTTAGAAAAACAATAGTTGTTCCTTAAAGTGACTTACACATCATTCTACAATGTACTTGACCATAATTGCATTCTCTCCATTTCCCTTTTTCCTGCTGATTTCCACCTGGTTCTTAAACTCTAATAACATTAAAACACTATACATGCATTAAGCATTTACCAAGTATTGTGTTGAGTGCTTCATGTCTTACATCTTTTAATCTCCACAACCTAAAGGGTAGTTAGTATTAATGTCCTTGTCTTACAGATGAGGAAATGGGAAACTAAAAGTGTAAAGTAACTTGCTTGAGGTTATACAGCTAGTGAATTGCCAAGCCAGCACTTAGGCCCCTGACTCTGGAGCCCATGTGTCTGACCTCAGTGCTGTACCATTTTCGGGTTGGTGATCCTGTGTACTTTAAGGAAAGAAGATGCCCAGCTCTACCTGAATACCTGACTTCTTCATTTCAAAGCTTATTATAAAGCTTTTTTTGATTGTTCATTTTGACTTCTCTGTAACTGTTCTCTGATCTGCTGGTGTGCATAATTAAGGGTTGAATGTTCAGAAAATTTACCAGTCCACCCCTTTTCTCAGGGAGTGTGCAGGTAGTAAAATAAACAAAATTGCCATTCTTTACTACTTGTCCCACACTACACTCCCCAGGTGAGCTGGTAAGTGGCTATTTATGTGACAGTTTTTTAATGACTACGCAGTTCCTTCCTGTGGTTGGAAACAACACATGGGTTAAAGCACTGAGCCTGTAAATCACAGCAATTATAGGGGACATGGTTTAGATCAAAAAAGGAACAAAATCAATTGTGCCTCCGGGTTGTTCACACTCCGTAGCTTCTTGTCACTATCCAGTTTAAAGCTTCCAAGATTTTTTGTGCATTTCCCATTCTCTGACTTTTTATTGTTAGAATTTTAATGGATTTGCTGTGGACATCTGCTTTAGTAAAGTGAAAAAAGTAATTCAGGAGTTTTTCCAGGTAATTAAAGTAATTACCTTTGGCTTTGCGCTTTAAGCTTTTTGAAGCAGTGGCTCAAAAGTAGGGTAGTGAACTGGAAGGGATATGTCCAGTGTCTGTTGGGCATGGGAAGGCTTATTTTCTCTTTACCTATTGAAATTTTCTAGTTTGTGGTTATAATGTACATAATATATTAGTGCGTATGTTTATTTTTTATGCTCAGTTTTAATTGTCAGGAGTATATAATCAGCTTGAGAGCATTCCACTCTGATGATGAACTATATCATTCTAATACATAATCTTTGCTCTGGGGGCCTGTTTTGCTTATTTGTTTATATGTAATACTTTGATTATATCATTCCTTCTGGGGTGACTGTGATGTGATTTAGTTAGTATTCTGTACCACCCTTAAAGACCTGACAGCCAGATGTGGTGACACATGCCTGTAATCCCAGCCCTCAAGACTTGACAGGCAGGAGGATCACTTGACAGGCAGGAGGTTACATAGGGAGTTCAGGGCCAGTTTGAACTACATGATGAGACCCTGTCTAAAAAATAAGACATGACATACATGTGGATCATCTGCCCTTGTAGATTCTATCGCAAGCAGGCTTTCTCCACCATTGTTGGAGTGCTTTAGAATGTCCTAATATGTCCTAATTCAGGCACAAGTCAGTATTCCTTCATATTGATGAAAGAGTAAATAATGGTCTCAGAATCATATTATTCGATTCCATACCCAGTATAAATGACTTCAACTCTTTCAGACAGGGTTATATGAAGCATGGGGCAGATACCTAGCACCTCCCTTTTCATGCAGAAAAATATTGAGTTGATGGTAAGAACAATTTTTTCAGAGAAAATGGTATATCATCATCACACGTTTCCTTTTGTGAAGTAGAGGCTTGTCTTAGTTACTTTTCTTATTGCTGAGACATAATACCTAACATCCAAAGTTAAAGGAGGAAAGGTTTATTTCAGCTTATAGTTTGTAGAAGCTTCAGTTCATAGTTGGCTGGCTCCAAGGAAGGGTGGCATGGCAGAGGAGAAATAGTTCATGGCAGGCACAAGGCAGCAGGCAAAGCAAAAGCCCTCTTTCTGTCCCTTGTATTCTTTCCAGGCTACCTGCCCTTAGGGTGGGTAACCGTAGTCACACCCAGGGTGGGACACGCTTTATCCTGGCATTGCACCATGAGTCCATCCCAGCACTACATCCTTAGTTCCAGAATTAACATTCTAGATTCTGCTGCCTCTGAGAAGCCCCACCTATGACCCCATGAGGCTTTGGCCCCGGGGACGTCTAGACACAAGCCATAACAGGGCTGGTCTTACTTATTTATTTATTTTTTGGTGCCAGAGATTGAACTTGGGACCTTGTGCTTTCGAGGCAGATAGTGGAACTACTGAGCTAAATCCCCGGCTCCAGGGCCGGTCTTCTTGTTGACTCAGCCATTTCTTTAACTTTGGGTAGTCCCCCCCACCTCCACCTGTCTTTCCTCAGTCCTCCTTTCTTTCCTCTCTCTGTAGGCTTGACTTTTCCTTTTAAATAAATTGGAAAATGCCCTTAGTCTTTGTCAGCAGAGGCCCTTGACGTCCTTCCTGTACCTTTATGAAAGGAAATACTGGTTGAGAAATTCAACCAGTCTGTGAGTGTCAAAGTGGCTGTTGTTCATTAGAAATTGATTTGGCCCATGCTTGAGGTGCATCATTATGAGCATTCAGGTAGAGCTTAAGGAGGTTTGGTCTCTTAAAGCATACATAAGCTAATGTGGGTGACAGTACAAGAAACAGTATTAGAAAGTGAAAAATGATTGTAGCAATTATGTTGGATAAAAGTGGCTGGGAACATGGAGAAAGTGACATTTATGTCAGTTTGGCTATGGACAAAAAGTTCTGATTACCAGAAGAAAACATTTTATAGAAAGGATAGTAGAACAAATGCTTAGATTTTCCTTTGTTGGGGAGGATGTTAAAAAAAAGATGAGAAAGGCAAAAAGTTAGAGCAAGGCAGAGAAGTAGAGCCAGGTGTGTGGCTGGGAGTGAGATCGTCAGCCAGCAGGAGTGAGTGCTGGGTATTCATCCTTTTGGAGCTTTATTCATCAGCTCTTTGCAGTATGTTGTTCAGGCTGGGGGTGGACACAGAGCAGGAACAGGAAGGGAGCAGGAAGCTAAAATCTGGCCTAAACTCTTGACTGCTGTGACTGCAGCCCCTGGCTCCCCTGAGGCAACCAGAAGCACCCGTGAGACTGGTAAGAAATGTGGCATGGCAAGAATGGAATGACAGCGTTTTATTTACTGAAGCATTCCATTGCCTGCCTGGTGCAATGCTTTTATATATGATGTTAGGAAAAATTAAGGCAACAGAAGGCTGTGGTATCCAGGATTCTTCTCCATTAGTATACTTCAGTCTAAATTCAATATAACTAACATGTAGCCGACAGGTTTTGTTCTGGTATTTATTAGTAGCTTTTACTCCAGAGCTTAAGTTAAGGAGCAAACGTGAGTGGAGGAGGGTATCTGCTTGTACTTGCAAAATGTCAGGCAGCTAATTATACCACCCACTTGATCCAAAGCAGTCTGATCTAGAGACCTTGAGCAGCCCAGTGGTGCACTGAGTTTCCATACTGTTCCTAGGATCCAGTGGTCCCAGGTCAGCCCCAGAAAACTGAGTTGATATTTGGAAATAGTTTCATTCCCAATAGTGACACTGGATAGTGTAAATTTAGGAAGTGTAGCCTCTGGCTGCTTACTTTTTCTCACCTTCTAAGTGGTTGTTTTTTTATCTTTAGTTGCCAGAGCAATGAATCTAAAACCCAGATCCATCTGGGTTGTTCCTGTAGCCAGACCGTTCAGTGGCATCTGGCCACTTGCAGGCAGGATAGCATGGAGGATTCTTTTTGTTCTGTTAATCCATGACTCTCATTTAGTCTCCAGAAATGTGAAGTTGCTTAGAGTTCCTACCTGCTCTCACCCCAGGCAAATGTCCATCATGCCATTTTCTGCCTCTGTGCCGTCGGCACTTGTTCTTCTTTCTTCTTGGAATATTCCTTTCTCTGGTTAAGTGCCTCTCCACCTCCACCTACAGGGCTCCTTTGGGGAATCATTTACTCCAGGTAACTTTCCTTGCTTTCTTTCACACGCTCCTTCTGTTTCCATCATCAACCTGATTTTTCTTTCACTGTCCATCTATCACCTTCTGTTACAATTACATATAGTTATCTTCTTCCCAAATTCATCACAAGTTTCTCAAGGTCAGAGACCACTTGTAGTTGATTTCCCATTGTCCAGCACAGAGTGTGACACATTCTAGATATTCAGTGAACTGTTGAACTGAAAGGCAGGAAGTAGGAAATAATACTTTAGAAGACCTAGACAGTTTAGGGTACAACTTTGTACACTCATTTAAAAACATTGTATAAATTCCTTCCAGGGATATCTTTGGACTTGCCTGCAGTGATCAGGAGGGGAGTGTGTGTGTGTTCAAAAAAATTTTTTTGGAGAGGGGCCATTCTGGGGATTGAACCTAGGGGTTTTGGACTATCTACGTCCCTAGCCCATTTATTTATTTATAAATTTTGAAACAGAATCTTCCTAGAACTTGAACTTGTGATCCATTTGCCTCAGCCTCCCAAGTGCTGAGGCTACAAGGGTGTGCCACTGCTCCTGACTTGTGTTTAGTTTTTATAGTCATCTACAAGAACAGTTTATTATACAATCTCTTACCTTTTGTCTTTGTATTTTCTGAATGGAAGAGGGCAAAAATAGAAAGAATCATTAGCCCACCAGCTGATAAACTGTCCAACTAGATTGTCATTTGAATTAACCCCTCTGTACTAGCTATTTTT